CAACATACGTAGTGTTTGGTTTAACGAACGCACCAAACGTATTTATGGACTTGATAAACTGAGTATGTTGCTCTTTCTTAGATAGATAGATAGATAGATAATAGTATTTATCGAAGATATCCTTGTTTACTTTAAGAATGAAATCGAGCATGAACACCATCTTCGAGAAGTTCTTAAGGTCTTACAAAAAAGAGAAGTTATTCGCCAAGTTTTCCAAATTCGAGTTTTGGCTTCTAGAGGTTCAAGTTTTGAGTCATGTGGTGTCTTGAGATGGAGTAAAAGTGGACCCATCTAAAATTGAAGCACTGATGAATTGGGAACCACCAACGAGCCCAACGAATAAGAAGTTTCTTGGGATTAGTCGACTATTACCAAAGATTCATTCAAGACTTCTCAAAGACGTTTCACCACTAACGATGCTGACAAGGAAGAATGTCAAGTTCGTGTGATCCGAGACTCAAGATCAAGCCTTTAGAGTTCTCCAAAAGAAGTTGTGCAAGGCACTAGTCCTAAATCTACCTGAGGGATCAGAAGATTTTGTAGTCTTTAGTGACGCCTTTAAGATGGGCCGAGGTTATGTGTTAATGCAAAGACGGAAAGTGATAGCTTATGCATCAGGTCAACTCAAGGAACACAAGAATAATTACTCAACACACGATTTGGAGTTAGTCGTGGTGGTTTTTACACTAAATTTGTAGCGACATTATCTCTATGAAACAAAGTGTACATGAAAAGTTTGCAGTACATCTTCGATCAAAAGGAACTTAATACGTAACATCCAATTTCTAATATGCTCAATTAATTGCTTAGCATATTTAATTATTGGGTTAAAGAGAACTTATGATTTAGTGGGAGTTCAGGTTTGGAACTTTAGAATTTTATTTCTTAAGAATATATTAGAGGAATTGGGAAAATATCACGTCAAATATATACGTAAAACGGATTTTCTTGGGAGATTTTTTCTAGAATATTTTGTTGGATGTTATAGATTATCTTTTTATGAACATGTAGGCGAACACTTCATAGAAAACGGAGGTTCGAGCGAAAAGTTATGAATATTTTAAGTGTTGATGGTCAAAATGGGTACCTAGCCGGGCCAAACCGGCCCAACTCGAGTTTTAGTATTATAAATTGGAGTTTTGGCCCAGAACTCACACACACACTAGAGGTGCGATTTTCATACACATACTAGAGGTGCGATTTTCACACACATAGGCTTGATTCAACTCAAATCAAAGAGGAACTACAAGATCTTGGAAGGATTTGATCATCAAGTAAGGTATAATCTATTTTTTTGCACTTGTTCTTGGTTGACATTCTTGTTTTATGGATTGCATGTTGAGATAGAGTTAGGGTTTCATATGGGTTTGATCTTAAGTGTATAAAATGAGTGCATTTTAGTRTTTTTGGCTTGAAATGGTCATTAGATTCAAGAGATTATCAAGATTTATGCAAKTYCATCATATGAACTTTGACTTGATTAAGTCAATGATTTGGGAGATAATATAAATGATAAAATAAAGGTTGGATTTTGGTTKYTTATGTCAAATATGTTATATTAAGTTGAGATTCAAAAGTTGGAATGGTTTGGAATCGAAATGGTTTGAGGAAAATGTATGAAAATGAGAATTTTCGACTTTTGAATGCATTAAAAGTATGCAAACTTTGAAAATCTGTATAAAATCATAGAAAAATCCAAATGAGGTGAGGCCAATTTCTTTAGTTATATATTTGAGTCTAGTTTATTTCTTATTTTATGATCAAGGCATGATTTCGAGCTTAAAATAGGCAAAATAGTTTTGCATGCAGCAGCTGTATATAGAAATTTAGGTAAAATGTTCAAATAGGATATGTGTATATCATGAGTTTCTTATATTGGTTGCTTATGAGATTTTGTATATTTACTCCAGGGGGTAATTAAGACATGTTTTGATACTTTGAAAGCAATCTAAGTGTGGTAGATTGGACTTGTTTGTGAGCTCAATTCAGAGCTTTTCGGTATTATACGATTGCCCGGTGAGTTATATAGTTAATTGTTACATATTGATTTGAACATATATATTTTCACATGAATTTTTTTGGGCTTGAATGGAGTCACAATATCTTGATTTGTCTTTGATTCCGTCTCTTGAGTCGATTCTTTATTACTATCTCGGTACATCGGTTTGCTTTCTGGATCCAGACTGATTGTTTTGTTCCTTGAATTGTACGCCATAGTATGGGTACTACTTCGTGTGGCACGCCGGAAGTTTATGGCGAAGTTAAGATCCCGGGTTGGACGGGTGAGACTTTCTGCGGTTGTGAATACTCATTGCTCAGAAAGGAGGAAGAGCAATGAGTAGGGAACCTTGGCACATACCCGGTAGAGGAAGGCGGGCAGTGCGAGGTTTCCCGTTAATGTATGATTCTGACTCGGACTTTGGCATGAGCCCGGGAGGTGAAGGACGGGGTGATGCACTGTCTTCGTTATGTATACCGATTTGATCTCTTGGTTCTTGATATTAATTGGTATTCTAACGTTGTTGAATATATTTGGTCATTGAACCTGTCTCCGTGTTGTATTGAGCAACAATGGTATGATATAATATGGTGATTTGAATATGGAATCCTATGATCTTGGCATTCGGTACGTAATGGTTCACTCGCTTTCTTGTAAGTCTCGGTTTATATTTGGATGATGTCTTGAACTCTTTTACTGATAAGAGTTTATTATATATGTTTATAAACATGTGTGATATTGATATATAATACTTAACTATTTAACTCACTAAGCGTTGGCTTACCATTTAAGTGGCAACCTTTCTCAGGAAAGAAGACGGATAAATAGAAAGAACCTGTTGTCTGACTCGAAAATTTATTGAGGAACTTGAAGATATCGATCTTGCTTTTGGGTAAATAGTAGCTTATATATATATAGTCTTGTCCCGTATTCTTTTGTGTTGGTCACGGTTCCAACATCTTCCTAAATCAAAACGTGGCGCTGGCTGCTACGCTATAAGGGAAATATGGTTACGCCTTCACCAAGGAAATTGCTTTTGGTGTGTGGGTAAGCGCTTGATCCTAACAATTGGTATCAGAGCAGGTCACGGGTTCAAATCCCATGGTGTGCATAATATGCAAGGAGTGCATAATTATGAGAAAGGCATGTTGCGCGGCCATTGACTTCTAACGAAACTCTTATTAGTACCGGCAGATGCTGGGGGGGATTGTTGGTCACGGTTCCAGCATCTTCCTAAATCGAAACGTAGCGCTGGCTGCTATGCTATAAGGGAAATATGGTTGCGCCTTCACCAAGGCAATTGCTTTTGGTGTAGTGGGTAAGCGCTTGATCCTAACATTTTGGTTACATAATTTGGATTGTAAGTAAAAATCTGTTATATCCGATTTGGAATTGTGTTTTTTGGTGGTTTTATCACTAAAATAGAACGGATATTTCGATGTTTTTCTAGAAATTAATATCCCATATTTTGAGGTTAATTAATGTTATGCCCAGATCTGTGGGTTTCAAAAATTTGGTCCTTCATGGCCTCTGGTCCTTCAAGGCCTCTGGTCCTTCAAGGCCTCTGGTCCTTCATGGCCTCTGGTCCTTCATTGCCTCTGGTCCAACCATTGCCTCTGGTCCTTCATAGTCTCACATCTGGTCCTTCATGGCCTCTGGTCCTTCATGGCCTCTGGTNTGGCCTCTGGTCCTTCATGGCCTCTGGTTCTTCATGGTCTCTGGTCCTTCATGGCCTCTGGTCCAACCATTGCCTCTGGTCCTTCATAGTCTCACCTCTGGTCCTTCATGGCCTCTGGTCTTCTTCCAGACTTAGCCATTTCAGCAGCCTCTAGACCATTGCCTCTGGTCCAACCATTGCCTCTGGTCCAACCATTGCCTCTGKTCTTCCTCCAGACTTAGTCTTTTTAGCAGTATTTTCAGATTTTCCATCCTTGGCCCAGATGGCTTTGACAAAACTTTTAGAATAATTTAGGATCAATTTTGGTCCCAATAATCAATAAATTATATTTTATTGGAGATTTTATAGGAATTAGTAATTTGGGGTTTGCTCGAGCGAGATGTTACATAATATACGTCAAAGAAGGTGGTTGGAATTGTTAAAGGACTACGACTGTGAATTGCTTTACCTTCCCATTAACGTGAATGTCATGGAAGATGCTCCAAGTCAGAAGAGTCGTTGTGAAAAAGTTCAAATGTCACTCACAAGAATCGATGTGGTGTCAAGTCTAATTGAGAAAATCAAAGCATGCCAAGCCGAGGCACTTCTAGAAGAAAATCTCAAAACTGAAGTCACTGTGAAACAACGTCAGTTGTTAATGGAAGATAGTTGGGGACTCAAGATTCTTCAAGGCCAAATTTAGGTACCAAAGCTGGGAGGAAACCATATGTTACTTTTGGAGGACGCTCATAAATCCAAGTATTCCAGTCACCCCAGTGGCATGAAAATGTATAGAGATTTGAAGTTAAACTATTGGTGGCCAGTCATGTAGCTCGATGTGGCAAATTATATGGAGACATGTTTTACTTGCCTTCAAGTCAAAACAAAACATCAAAATCCTTACAGAAGTCTTCAATCCTTGAAGATACTTGAATAGAAGTGTGAGCACATCACTATGGACTACGTGTCAAAATTGTCAAGGACATTGAGGGGTCAAAGCACGATTTGACTGGTTGACCAAGACTGCCCATTTTCTAGCAACGCGAGAAACCTTACCAATAGATAAGTTGCCAAAGTTGTATATCGATTAAGTGATCTCGAGGCATGGTGTACCCTTGTCTATTGTCTCGGATCGAGACAGTTAGTTCACTTCTAAGTTTTGAGATGGTCTACAAAAAGAGTTGGGTACACCCTCAGACGGACGGACAAAGCAAAATGACCATTCAAACTCTTGAAGACATGTTGAGGTCATGCGTCATCGAGTTTGGTGGCAATTGGGACTCTCATCTACCGTTGGTAGAGTTCGCCTATAATAATAATTACAGTCAAGCATAGGAATTAGGAATGGCACTATTCGAGGCCTTGTATGGTCGAAAATGTAAAACTCCCATATGTTGGCTCGAAGCAGGAGAGAAGCAATTCACCGGACCCGAGATCTTTCAAGAGACGTTGGATAAGTTGAAAGACATTAGAGAGCCTTTGAAAGTGGCACAAGATCATCAAAAGAGCTATCTAATAATTAAGGAAGACCGATCGAGTTTCAAGTGAGAGACCGAATCATGTTGAAGGTATCTCCAGTTCTAAAGGCAGATGGCAGGTTTTTCCATAGACTAGCTTATATGGGGACATACCAATTGGTATTTTAAAAGTAGTTATGTATGCCCATAAAGCGTCGTCTAATTTGAATGCCCAGTCCTTTCTATTGGGTTTGACAATTTTTTCCAAAATGCCTTTATTTTCTCTATTAGAGAGCTCTGCCAAACCATTTATTTGTGGATGATAAGCCGTGGAAATTTTGTGGTTAATATTATAAGCTAGTCTATGGAAAAGCCTAGTCACTGATTAATGAGAGACCGAATCATGTTGAGGGTACCCTCATCACTGATTAGTGCCCTTGGAGTACCGAACCGTGTGAAAATTTGTTTTTGGAGGAACTTAACCACAGTTTTTGCATCATTTGACACATATGCCATGGTCTCTACCCACTTCGATACGTAGTCAACAGCCACAAGAATTTACTGAAAATTATATGATGGAGGGAAAGGACCCATAAAGTCTATTCCCCAAACATCAAATAATTCAACTTCAAGTATCCCATTTAATGGCATTTCATTTCTCTTGGAAATGAAGCCACTCCTTTGACATTCGTTGCACCTCTGTGCAAAATTGTGGGAATCTTTAAAAATGGTTGGCCAATAGAAACCGGACTGTAGGACCTTAGTTGCAGTCCTTTGGCCTCCAAAATGGCCCCTATATGGAGCATGATGGCAATGTTGCAGGATTGCTGCCACTTCAGATTCAGGTACGCATCTTCTTAGAATCTGGTCTGCACCAAGTCTAAACAAAAATGGGTCATCCCACAAATAAGATTTAGCATCATGAAAAAAAAAATTAACATGTGGCCTGTGTTATCAGAGGGTTTTATTCCACAGGCCAAGAAATTAGCTAAATCCGCAAACCATGGTGTTTTTGGTTGGTCTATCATGAGGATTCTTTCATCTAGAAAAGTATCATTAATGTCCATTCCTCCTCTCTCAGGTTCTTCCAACCTAGACAAATGGTCTGCCACTTGATTCTCTATTCCCTTCCTATCAAGTATCTCTAAGTTAAACTCTTGCAACAAAAGCACCCATCTTATTAACCTCGGTTTTGCATCTTTCTTTGAGATTAGGTACTTGATGGCAGCATGATCGGTATGTACAATTACCTTTGTTCCCATCAAATAGGACCTAAATCTCTCAAAAGCAAAAACTATGGCCAATAATTCTTTCTCAGTTGTGGTGTAATTAATTTGTGCCTCATTCAAAATCTTACTTGCGTAGTAGATTGAATGAAACACCTTCTCCTTCCTTTGTCCTAACACAGCACCTACCGCCCAATCACTCGTGTCACACATGATCTCAAAAGGTTTGTTCCAATCGGAGGCAACTACCACTGGTGCGGTAACTAAAGCTTTCTTCAAAGTTTTGAATGCATTTCTGCACTCATCGTTAAAATTGAATTTTTGGTCATGTTGTAGGAGTAGACAGAGAGGTTTTGAAATTTTTGAAAAATCTTTTATGAACCTCCTATAAAATCCGGCATGACCAAGAAAGCTTCTAATTCCCTTAACAGTGGTGGGCTCGAGTAGTTTTTCAATTACTTCCAGTTTTGACTTATCTACCTCAACCCCTCATTTAGAAATCAAGTGCCCAAGAACAATTCCTTCTTTGACCATGAAGTGACATTTTTCCCAATTGAGGACCAAGTCTGTTTCCTCACATCTTTCCAAGCTCTTTTTCAAATTATTTAAACAATTGTCAAATGATGAACCATATACAGAAAAATCATCCATAAATATTTCAATGGATTTTTCAAGCATATCAGAAAATATGGACATCATACACCTCTGAAAGGTGGCAGGAGCATTACATAGTCCAAATGGCATTCTTCTAAAAGCAAAGGTGCCATAAGGACATGTAAAGGTGGTCTTTTCCTGGTCCTTGGGAGAAATGGCTATTTGATTGTACCCTGAATACCCATCCAAGAAACAATAGTACTCTTTTCCGGCTAATCTATCTAACATTTGGTCAATGAAAGGTAGTGGAAAATGGTCTTTTTGAGTAGCCTTGTTTAGCCTCCTATAGTCCATGCATATTCTCCAACCTGATACAACTCTAGTGGGGATAAGTTCATTTTTGTCATTTATTACGACTGTGAACCCTCCTTTCTTGGGAACACACTGGACCGGACTAACCCAAGAACTACTGGCTATCGGGAAGATAACTCCAGCATCTAACCATTTCAAAATTTCTTTCTTGACTACCTCTTTCATGACAGGATTCAGCGTTCTTTGAGGTTCTATGGATATGAAGTTTTTATCCTCTAAGATGATCTTGTGTTGACAAATAGAGGGACTAATCCCTTTCAGGTTAGCAATGGTCCATCCTAAGGCTTTTTTGTGCATTGCAACATATCCACAAGTTTCTTTTCTTGATGCAATTCTAGGGTAGATGAGATAATGACAGGCAATTTGCCTTCTTCTCTCAAAAAAGCATATTTCAGATAGGATGGGAGTTGCTTTAACTCCAAGTCAGGTGGTGATATAATGGATGGGGAGAAGTCTTTTTGTTCACTATTTTCTAGCAGCTCAAAGGCTGCAGCATCCACTGGGACAACATCAGTTCCTATTTCCTCTATTTCCTCTATTTCCTCAACACTTTCCTCTTCTATTTCCTCATCAGACTCTCCTTTCAACTTAAGGTTTTTCTAAATTCCTTCTTCCAAACACATTTCTTCTATCTCAGTTATTCTTGAACACTCTTCCAAGTAATCAGGGTGCTTTAGAGAGTTGAAGACATTAAAGGTGACTTTTTGGTCCTGGAGTCTCATGGTTGACTCTTCTTTCTGGACATCAATCAGGGTTCTTCCGGTGGCTAAGAAAGGTCTTCCTAAAATAATCGGAATATCCTTATCAGCCTCAAAATCTAGTATGATAAAGTCTGCCGGAAATATAAACTTGTCAACTTGCACCAAAACATCTTCAATTTTCCCCTTATGATATGTTATGGACTTGTTGGCCAATTGGAGTGTGACTGTGGTGGGTCTAGCCTCTCCAATGCCTAATATAATATTCGTATTTCGTTAACTCGTACAAATTGGGTTAAGTGAATTTTTGGTATAATTGTACATAACATATTTGTACCCTATGCTTAACCAACTTGTATCTCAGACTAGTTTAATGACTAAAGCTGAGAATCTAACTTGAAGGGTTAAAACCGTCAAATAGTTAAACTATATATATATATATATATATTATATTATATTTCAAAAATTATATATGTGTATGTACATAGGCGGTTATGAACCGCCATTTCTTTCGTCTCATTTTTCTTGTCTCATTCTCTCTTTAAATCTCTCTTCTTCTCTCTAAATTTTACGTCAAGTTACTAACGGGATCGAGGTAACAATTATATATTCGGAATCCACTCTTCGAATCCTTCTTAAAGGTATAAATTTCATTCAATTTTATTAAGGTGTTTATATTAGGGTTATTAAGACCGGTTTATAAACTGTGTTTATATCTAAGTTTACAGATTGATGTTGTCAAAATCATGATATATTTGATGTTTAGAATGCTAGAACTGGTTAAATTGATGTAGAAATGAAAATGGTATATTATAGTTTCATTATGGTTAGATTGTGGGTATATGTTTAACCGTACACCAATTGTTCGGTTAAATGTCGAAAGGAGTAAAAATGTATGATTAAGCTTAGGTTAACGACCATTAGACTTGTTTTACTGTTTAGTATGTTGAAGCATGTTTATAGCATGTAAATGTAGCGAATCAAKAAAGTTGGATCATAAAAGTTAGTCGGGAATTACGGAATCGAATTTTACCGACAATGCAACTCCTGTACTTTGGCCGTGTATAACTCACAAACTGTATATCGAAATATGCTCGTATTTTGCAGTCAGAAAGACCTTACTGCATACTACAACTTTTATGAAGAGTTGAAAATCCAGTTATGATTCTAGGTGGCTCGAAACAGTGTGTTTTTGGGGCTGTTTACACTGTATTCGGTATTAATTTACAGTTTTGTAAAATTCATATAAAATAGATGGATGATCCAATGAGATGATTTCAAAAGCAATAGACTCGTATGATACCAACCTACAACTTTTATTTTGACAATATAATCTGTATTGATCTCTAGGTAAAGTAAAAATTCTTAGAAATAAGAGGGACAGAAGCAGTTGGATCGAAAGAGAATAAGGCTAAGGTTTACGTTTGAGCTTTAAATTCGTATCCGCCTGTCCTTCTTGAAGTCTACGTTGTTTAAGTACATTAAGATCTAAGTAATTTTATTAGAATAGTTATATTATGATTTCTATGCTTTATAAATAGTAACTCGTTTATGCATTCGTTAGGCACGCGGATAAATCAAACTTGATCGTGAATTTCCGTTTGATCGTGCGTTAATTGTCAAATTCGGTTAAGGTACGGATTTCATATCTCACTTGACATAGGATAGCCATTTGCGTAAGGCTTCCTAATCCGGATAATCTGTGATAAATTCCGAATAATTTGTTTTGAATTTCCTTTATGTTTATCAAATGTTATTGAACTTTGTTTCCTTTTGAATTACGACTTATATTCTTATTCGGAATATGGATCATTTTGATCACTTGACTTATTTTATTACTTCATTTATGAAACATTTTACTATAGACTCAATAACTGGAGCACCGGTATTGAGATGTTTCCTTGGTGACTAAAACRATCATGGCGTCCTCATTTTTATAGTCCTTAAAAGTGGACTTGATTATGTACCGGTCGAATAGAGGGCGTATGGATCGATCCTAGGAACCGTTATCGGATAATGAATTGTGGCCGTGGTTAAATCCACGGAGATGATTGCTGTGTTGTGCTCACACCCCTTTCCTCACTTGTGCCTAAATGGACTGATCATCCTTTGGGAACAACGCGTCCTCGTGATGCAGTTTGGTCTTCGGACCCTTGACATGCTTTTGGGGCATTTTGACTTTCTTTTGGATTATCACTTGGTGTTATAAATTGTTTTTGAACTTGTTATCTCATATTCATTGTTTATTTATATTATTATCCGTTCACTGAGCATTAAGCTCAGCCGAGATTTTTTCTCGTCCTCGGCAGGTACATGACTTAGCAGGGATTTTGGGATGAGAGCTACGGAGATGACAACATTGAAGATAACCCATTAAGTCATACTTTTGTTAAACTTTTGATGACTAATGTATACATACTGGTATTTTGGGACCGTATTTTGAGACACGTTATCTCCGTCTATGGTTATGTAATTATCTTTTGGTAAATTTTATTAGCTGCTCTGTTTTATATAGCGCGTTGTTTTTATCCCAATTGTGGCATCTCCCGTCTTTGACCACGCGGGACGGGGGTGTTACAAGTTGTGGTATCAGAGCTATAGATTGTGATCCTGTAGTACAATATAAGTTTGATCTGTGAGAAATGGGTAGAACTAAGATAGGATTATCTTAGACTTTATACTTTCCTAAGGTGATAGTGGTACGAAAGGAAACAGAGATGTGTTTCAAGGAAATTCTATCGGGCGAGGAACCAATCGGGCAGGTCAGTGGAAACAACCAAATTATWGACCTCCAATTGCATTTCAAGGAACTTCTAGTAAAGGTTTTTCGAATACGAATTCTCTGTTACGGTGCAAATATTGTGGTTTTAGACATCATCCTGGCCCATGTATTCGAATGACCAGCGCTTGTTATAATTGTGGTCAACGAGGTCATATAGCTCGTGATTGTAAACAAGGGCCAAAAGATAATTCTAAAGATAAAGAGAAGCAATCTACTGCCGGTGGTCGAGTGTTTACACTATCTGCTGACAAATCTACTGCGGGTATGATTTCTGGTACCATTTCTATTGACAGTAGAGATGCATATGTTTTATTTGATACAGGTGCTACACACTCGATTGTCTCTGAAAACTTTGAAGAAAATCTTAAATCGTATGAACAATCCACTGAATTTCCATTACATATTACTACTCCCATGGGTAGTTCAGTATGTATATTTGGGCAATTCCCAAACTGTCCGTTATTTATTGGCGATTGAATTCGGAAAATTACTTTACTACCGATGAAAATGGATCACTTTGATATCATCCTTGGCATGGATTGGTTGTCTAAACATCGAGTGACCATCAACTGCAAAGCCAAACAAATCATCTTTGGTGACGTCAATGAACCTGAATACGTGTTCCAGGGTGTTTCACCTGAGAAAGGAACTCGTGTTATCTCAGAAGTAAATGTTAAAGCAATGGTATGGCAGGGATGTGAAGGATTTTTAGCTTCACTATAAGATCCCGAAGAGGTATGCCTTAAACTTGAAGATATTCCTGTTATTAATCAATTTCAAGATGTCTTTCCAGATGAACTTCCAGGAGTTCCTCCGGAAAGGGAAATTGGATTTACAATTGATCTTATTCCGGGAGCTGCACCTATCTCAAAGGCTTCGTATCGTATGGCTCCAACTGAAATGAAAGAACTTAAGGAACAACTTGAAGATCTTTCTAATCGTGGTTTCATTCGACCTAGTGTATCTCCATGGGGTGCACCAGTCTTATTCGTTAAAAAGAAAGACGGATCGATGCGATTGTGTATTGACTATCGGGAACTAAATCGAGTCACGGTACGTAATAAATACCCTTTACCCCGTATTGACGATCTCTTCGATCAACTCCAAGGAGCAAAGTATTTTTCTAAGATCGACTTAAGGTCTGAATATCACCAACTCCGGATCATAGATCAGGATATTCCTAAGACTGCATTTCGTACTCGATATGGGCATTATGAATTCATTGTTATGCTATTTGGGTTAACTAATGCGCCAGCAGTTTTTATGGATCTTATGAACCGAGCTTTCAAAGATTATTTGGATGACTTTGTTATCATTTTTATTGATGATATTCTCATATATTCAAAGTCGAAAGAAGATCACGAAACTCACTTGCGTATTACTTTAGAAACTCTTCAAAATAAGAAGTTGTACRMAAAGTTTTCTAAGTGTGAATTCTGGTTGCATCAAGTAGCATTTTTGGGTCACATTATATCTGGCGAAGGCATTAAAGTCGATCCTGCAAAGGTTGAGGCTATCACTAACTGCCAAAACCAACAAATGTTTCTGAAGTCCGAAGTTTCCTAGGTCTGGCAGGTTATTATCGATGGTTTGTTGAAAACTTTTCTCGGATCACGCTCCCTATGACTAAACTTCTTCGAAAAGAATTTAAATTTGTTTGGGATGAAGAACGGGAAAAGAGTTTTGAAGAACTGAGAAAGAGATTGATTACAACGCCTGTTCTTGCATTGCCAACTGGATCGGGAGGTTTTCAGGTTTATACTGATGCTTCTAAAAGTGGTCTTGGCTGTGTGTTTAATGCAACACGGCAAAGTGATTGCGTATGCCTCTCGCCAGCTCAAACCTTATGAAGTAAACTACCCTACTCATGATCTTGAATTGGCAGCAGTCATTTTTGCACTCAAGATATGGCGTCACTATCTGTACGGAGAGACTTGTGATATCTTTACTGATCACAAAAGTCTAAAGTACATCTTCACGCAAAAAGAGTTGAATATGCGTCAACGACGATGGCTCGAACTTCTTAAGGACTACGACGTTCGAATTCAATATCATCCAGGCAAAGCCAATGTAGTCGCCGATGCCCTTAGTCGTAAAAGCATTGGTAACGTATCGTCTTTAACCGTTCAGTCCCATATTGCTTCAGATCTAGAACGTATGGGTATCTCTTTGTGTTATCATGGTGCAAATGAACTTTTGGCTAGTCTCACGGTTGAACCAACTCTTGTATCTCGAATGAAAGAGGCTCAACAAGATGATGGAGAACTTTGGGCTATCTTACAAATGGCTAAAGATGATTCGCAGTCCAAATTTCGAGTTATTGATAAAGGTATTATCTGGTTCCCTAATCGACTTTGTGTACCCGACAATCCTGAACTCAAAGAAGTAGTTATGGGTGAAGCTCATAATTCGTTGTTCTCAATTCATCCTGGATCTACTAAGATGTACCGAGATCTAAAATAGTACTTTTGGTGGAACGGTATGAAACGGGATATAGCCGAATACATGGCAAAATGTCTTACTTGCCAGAAAGTGAAGATTGAACATCAACGGGCTAGCGGATTATTACAACCATTAGAGATTCCAGTTTGGAAATGGGAACATATCTCTATGGATTTTGTGACWGGACTGCCRAAAACTCAGAGAYGACATGATGCTATATGGGTAGTAGTTGACCGTTTGACAAAATTGGCTCATTTCCTACCTATACAGGAGACGTACCCTGTTAGTAAACTGTCTGATCTATTCCAGCGGAAAATCATGAGGTTGCATGGCACACCAGTTTCTATTACATCGGACCGAGATCCATGATTCACTTCTCGATTCTGGAAAAGTCTTCACCAAGCTTGGGGTACGTGATTGATTATGAGTTCAACTTTTCATCCACAAACAGATGGTTAGACTGAACAAACTATTCAAACTCTAGAAGATATGTTACGAGCTTGTGCTCTTGAGTGGTCTGGTGGTTGGGACGAGTCTCTGTATCTTGTGGAATTCGCATATAAAAATAGTTGGCAAGCTAGTATCGGCATGGCCCCGTACGAAGCTTTATATGGTCGGAAATATAGAACACCGATCTGTTGGAATGAAGTGGGGAAACGAGCTATCGAAGGACCCGAACTTGTCCGGATCACTACTGAACAAGTCGAGATCGCAAGACAGAAAATGAAAGAGGCTCAATCTCGGTAGAAAAATTACGTTAACAAGCATCGAAAACATTTAGAGTTCCAAATGGGTGATCATGTCTTCCTAAAAGTTTCACCGTTACGAGGTATTCGTAGGTTTGGAATTAAAGGTAAACTTAGTCCGAGATATATTGGACCTTTTGAAATACTTGAACGGGTTGGAGAGGTGGCGTATCGCCTAGCGTTACCTTCTCAACTTTCAGATATCCATAATGTTTTCCATATCTCGTCGCTCCGCGGATATCATTATCACTCTCTTCATGTGATTGATTATCCGTTGGACAAGTTGAAAAAGATCTCTCTTATATTGAAGAACCCGAGGCGATAATTAATCAAGAAGAGAGACAAATGCGACGAAGGTCAATATCGTTCGTTAAAGTGTTATGGCGAAATCATTCCGAACGATAAGCCACATGGGAAACGGAAGAATTTATGCAAAATAAGTACCCTTATCTATTCGAGTCATGTAAATCCTCTAACCCTATCTAAATTTTGAGAGCGAAATATTTTTTTAGGAGGGAAGGATTACAATATCCGTGTTTCGTTAACTCGTAGAAATTGGGTTAAGTGAATTTTTGGTATAATTGTACATAACATATTTGTACCATATGCTTAACCAACTTGTATCTCAAACTAGTTTTATGACTAAAGCTGAGAATCTAACTTGAAGGGTTAAAACCGTCAAATAGTTAAACTATATATATATATATATATATATATATATATATATATTATATTTCAAAAAAAATTATATATATGTGTATGTACATAGGCGGTTATGAACCGCCATTTCTTTCGTCTCATTTTTATTGTCTCATTTTCTCTTTAAATCTCTCGTCTTCTCTCTAAATTTTACGTCAAGTTACTAACGAGATCGAGGTAACAATTATATATTCGGAATCCACTCTTCGAATCCTTCTTAAAGGTATAAATTTCATTCAATTTTATTAAGGTGTTTATATTAGGGTTATTAAGACCGGTTTATAAACTGTGTTTATATCTAAGTTTACGGATTGATGTTGTCAAAATCATGATATATTTGATGTTTAGAATGCTAGAACTGGTTAAATTGATTTAGAAATGAAAATGGTATATTATAGTTTCATTATGGTTAGATTGTGGGTATATGTTTAACCGTACACCAATTGTTCGGTTAAATGTCGAAAAGAGTAAAAATGCATGATTAAGCTTAGGTTAACGACCATTAGACTTGTTTTACTATTTAGTATGTTGAAGCATGTTTATAGCATGTAAATGTAGCGAATCAAGAAAGTTGGATCATAAAAGTTAGTCGGAAATTACGGAATCGAATTTACCGACAATGCAACTCCTGTACTTTGGCAGTGTATAACTCACAAACTCTATATCGGAATATGCTCGTATTTTGTAGTCAGAAAGATCTTACTGCATACTACAACTTTTATGAAGAGTTGAAAATCCAGTTATGATCCTAGGTGGCTCGAAACAGTGTGTTTTTGGGGCTGTTTACACTGTATTCGCTTTTAATTTACAGTTTTGTAAAATTCATATAAAATAGATGGATGATCCAAATGAGATGATTTCAAAAGAAATATACTCGTATGATACCAACCTACAACTTTTATTTTGACAATATAATCTGTATTGGTCTCTAGGTAAGGTAAAAATTCTTAGAAATAAGAGGGACAGAAGCAGTTGGATCGAAAGAGAATAAGGCTAAGGTTTACGTTTGAGCTTTAAATTCGTATCTGGCTGTCCTTCTTGAAGTCTACGTTGTTTAAGTACATTAAGATATAAGTAATTTTATTAGAATAGTTATATTATGGTTTCTATGCTATATAAATAGTAACTCGTTTATGCATTCGTTAGGCATGCGGATAAATCAAACTTGATCGTGAATTTTCGTTTGATCGTGCGTTAATTGTCAAATTCGGTTAAGGTACGGATTTCATATCTCACTTGACACGGGGATAGCCATTTGCGTAAGGCTTCCTAATCCGGATAATCTGTGATAAATTCCGAATAATTTGTTTTGAATTTCCTTTATG